ACGGATCCCTCTGACGAAGACACAAGTAAAAGGAAGAATAAGGGTCACGCAAAAAAAAAAAAAAAAACTTGTACAGATTTTTTTTAAAAGCAGAATGTATTATATGCATAGTACACATTATTTAAAATTTCAAAGCAGAAGAACACCTTAAGCAAAATAATAAAATGTAAAATAAATCAATTTCAAAATTGCACTGTTTTACTGTCATTATTTAGCAGCTGATACTTTTAACAGCGGACTGATTGTTGAAACTGGCGGAGAAAGCGATAGGCAAAGAAGACAAAAGGTATATGGAAGGATCCTATTGGTGAGGGGGTGGTTGCAATGGACAAAGGTGGTAAGTAATAGACTAACGACGGGGACCCTTTAGTCAATCCATCATTTTTTCCATTAGTCTATAAGAGCCACCCATTTTAACCAATAGGATCGCTCCATACTCCGTATGTCTTCTTTTTTTATCGATTTGTCTATCAATTTCAACAATCAGCCCGCCGCACAGTGCGGCATTCTTATGGACAATGCGGACAAAAATCGGTAAAAGACACTTAACTTTAGATGATGAAGGCAGTAGCACCGACATAGAAAAACCTTTTTGCACTATCAAAAAGAAACACTCGAGGAATAAGAAAATTTAATATCTCAGGATTTTGTGCGTATTTTTCGAGAAAAGTTCATTTCAAGTTGGCAACCTTGAATCAGCCCTATGTTAACAATGTAAAAGTAACGTGAAATACCCAAACTTTAACCTCAAATATCTTTAATAGTCGCAAACAGTCACAAGATCTTTTTGGTAGAATTGAAGTTGGATATCTCAGGATTGAGAAAATGTCAACCACCCAGAGCATTTTGTGTTTTAAGCGAGAAATCTTCATTTGAAGTTGGCGTCTTTTTCTCGTGTATTTCTTATGGATCAGCTATTCTCGGCCCATTTCCCGCCCATTTTCTACCCGAATTTGAAGTAGTTTGGAGCGAGAAATTTGAAAATGAACCATCATTTTGAGTCCGGAATATCTTTCAGATAACAAACTCCAAAAACAAAATATTCAGATGTCGACTTGTGAACTTTTTATTTTTGTCCACAGGGGGTCGCACTGTGGGCTGATGCAGTGGCTGTTACTGGTTTTCCGGATTTTTCGGTCCAGGGTAGCATCTTAGGGTATCTAAGGGTATAGTACATTAAATCTGTTCTTCCTCAACCAAGTTTTGACAGTCCCAACACTTTCTTTGCGAGCATCCAGGAAATCGGATAACTTGTAATTCATGCCTATCAATAAGTAGAGCAGTTCCCGGTTCACTTTGCAATGACAGTTTTTTCGCACGTCTACACTCGCTACTGAGATCCATAAGCGCTTTATGCGGTAGTACCCGAAGAGGTAGCCATCGTCTTCTCTGCACTTCGTTTCGCATTTCTCCAGAGCCTGATCGTACTCGCCACGCCGTTCATATGGACTTACCCCATGAAAGTATCGGGGAGTCAATCTATGGTTGATTAACCAAGCGTTGCCAGCAGTAACGCTTTTTTTCCGAGCATCCAGGAAATCGGAAATAATGAGTTTCCTCTCCTCCAAGAAATCGAGCAGTTTTTCGTTGGCTTCGCAGACGCAGCCTTTATGCGTATCTAATTTCCCCGTCGCAATCCCTATAATTTTTCTTTCGAGGTCCGGTAAAATTTTTTTTTCGAAATCCCCAACGATGTAGCCCTCGGCTATCAAGCAATTCATTTTGCAATCCTCCGGAGTCCACTGTATCCGTTTCCAATTTCGCTTTTGCGGCTTGACCACTGGTTCATCTAAAGACAAAAGAACACAGTTAAACATTTCCGTGTTTATGCCTACTTTTGGTTACTCCGAGGTACTTTTTTCGGTCGGATCAACAGAAGGGACTTGGTTGATCGACTTGATTTTTGGTTAAATCGACCTGAACCGCTGGTCACTCTGAGACAATGGGTCACTAAACCATGAACGAATTTTAACTTGCGAATATAGTTTTCTGAAGGAAAATGACGCGTAGAACACGATGCGCACATTAAAAACGCGAACAGGTAACCCAATAACCGAGAAATGCGCAGTTCAAATCGCTCAACTTATACGCAGATTTAAAACGCCCCAGTTTCGCGCCGCGCCGAATGATGTCATTCAGCACCAATCAGAAGCGGGCACGGGTTTCCACGACTTCCGTCAAATGTCTATGTACTCTTCGTATATGAAAACAATAATAAAGTCGAAATTATATCTTTTGAATTCAAGACTTGAATTTCATTCATATGTTAGCTGTAATAAACGAGCAACAATTCCACATTGAAACACGTTTTCCTTTAACAAACATCAGAGGAAAATGAGAGAAGATTGCGATATGGCTACCGCAGTGCGTCATAACCGTCAGTTTCCCGCCATTCGGGTGCGTTCCAAATGTCTTGCAGTTTTTAAATTTTTCAAAAGCGGGTTTCTCCGCGATTTCGGCTCCATAAAAATGCGGAAATATCACCACGTTATCTACTCACATTGTACTTTCAGAATATTCAATAAAATAAACAAGGTTTAGTGACCCATTGGGGATGAAAAAAATGTTCCGCTGAACAACTAATGTACTCTCGTTTCTCTCAGCGTTATCGTGGTGTCACTCAGAGGCTGCGAATTCGCAATTTGCGGATGACTATCGCATAGGTCTGTCACCAAAGTGATCCAGGCTCAGTCCAGACTGCTCGCGCATGATTTTTAACGGAGTCGTAATATATCTTGCATGACAAATTGTCTATCTTTCTCAAAGATGAAACGCACCTTGTCAATCTTTAAAAGTCAGCAATTATCGACCAAATCATGTAAAAATATTGTAATTTTATGATCTCGAAATTTCCAAATTATTTCCATACTAGGGGGCTCTGCACCCTGGCTAACACGGCCTAACCCCCGAGGCTCTACGCCCCTCCCCCCCCACCAAAGGCCGCTTCGCGGCCAGCAAATTCGTCGAAAGCGCCCGTTGGTGGTTAATGAGCAAATAATTTCAAATGAATAACAAAACGATGTTTCAAAGGAAAATTTCCTGCCAAACAATATTCTTAATGACTTTCTCCTTACTCTGAATTGGACGTATTTCTGTCAAACGGAACTAAGCGCCAATTTGAGTTCCTTTTGAGGAATTGAGAATCCCGCATAGCGCGTTCTGTCAAACAGAACTAAGCGCCATGGAAAAGCATTGCGAGTATAGGAACGAATGAGCCCGACGCGACGGACGCCCGTTTCCGCCGCCAATCCAAGCCCCCCTCTACCTCCCTCCTCCGATGGCGCTTAGTTCCGTTTGACAGAAATACGTCCAATTTTGATTCCTTTTTTAGAAGTCGATTTTTACAGGGCCACATATGTATAGCTAGTCTATCCATGACTAAACAAAGGCCCCTGAAAGTAAAGACCCACTCTATTAAAACTCTGACCTTTGAACTCCCCTTCCTCACTCCTGCCCATCGACCGTCTTACTCCCCTTCCTCACCGCGTCCATCGAGCGTCCTAAAAATGATTTTATTAGAATAGAGAGGATTTTCGTTGCACTTCGCTACTTGGACTGGGCCTAATATTCTGCCATGCTAAGGAAAAACGCCGTATGAACATTCAAGAGTTGCCGAATTTCCCCGGATAAAATATGTATTTTTGAGGAAACTTATGCATTTTTTATCTCGAAATTTGCAGGTATTTTAGATTAAATTGCGCTCACAATCGCTGGGAAAATCCGAAAAAAAAATATTCACAATTTTCCAAGGAAATTTGAGTTTTATCGAAATGTGGCAACGTCTGATGACTTATACGGCATTTTTCCTTGGCGCGGCAGTATTGGACTATTGACGTATGTATACACTGCGAAGATATCAAGATACTATAGCCATAATTACGGGAAAAAGACATTTTTGGCAGAACTTAATGTGTTTCTGTGACAGCAGGTGTGCGCCGCCGATGTGAGCTCAGATTGTGCAAGATATAACCGGTCCAATACACCATTTTTTAGAATTTTTTTGTCACCTTCATGCTGCTTAGAATGATCCTGATCAACTAAAAGTCGTGGTCACTTACAGCTAATTTCAGCTTGATGTTCCTTCTCATTGCGTTTGCCTGGAGATGGAGCTGAAAGGTGTGTCAGGCTGCTTTCAGTCGGAGGATGGTCTGAGGAAAAGTAAAATAAAAACGATGAGTATGGTAAACTCAATCATGAATCTACTTGCTTTTTGACGCGACTTTTTTGGTTGTATCTATCGACTTGAAACGCTGGTCACTCTAAGACAATTGGAGATGAAAAAAATGTTGCGAACTAATGGACTCTCGTTTCTCTCGGTGTTATCATGGTGTCACTCAGAGGTTGCGAATTTGTAATTTGCGGATGACTATCGTATAGGTCGGTCACCAAAGTGATCCAGGCTCAGTCCTGACTGCTCGCGCATGATTTTTAACGGAGTCGCAATTTATTTTGCATGACAAATTGTCTATATCTTCCTCACAGATGGAACGCACCTTGTCAATCGTTAAAAATCAGCAATTATTGACCAAATTACCAATGTAAAAATATTGCAATCTTATGGTCACCAAATTTCCAAATTATTCCAATATTTTTGTTGCACTGCGCTATTTGGGCTGGCGCTATTATTGGACTATTGACTATGGACTATTGGCTTTCAAAAAATCTTTCTCTGCTTTGTCTACTAGGCGATGATAGCCTTTAGGGTCGGATGAGCTAGCTGTGAAATCGATCCGTGCAATAAAAAACATATCCACCTATTTGCGTTCTAAAACAAGAGATAAAATATTCAATTCTGACAGTAGTTATCGATGGCCAAAGTGCGAAACCACCTATTGCCTTTTATAAAATTGCAGACGTCCTCTTATACTTTATTGTTTCCTTGGAAAACTAGCTGGCGTAATTTTTCGAGAACTTCCTAGATTGTTTATCTCCTCCAGTCGAATATTCTGTAAAACATTTCAAGCCATAAAGTTGGCTTGGTTCTCTTCGAAAAAATAAATAGGAACGGAAATTTTGAAACTCTGCGATAGAGTTACGTGGTTTTACAATGTGGCCATTGATATGCTCATCAATTTATTACAAGGATAAAAAATACACTCAAAAATTGATGTAAGGTAAATAAAATGAGTAAATTGTTAAGGATTTCTCGTAACACCGAACATCCATAGGTTACTGAGAAGGATTTCTGGCGACGCACGGTGGATTAAGTCAATTGGAGAGGTCGGACAAAATTCGGAAACTTTAAACGCATATAACTCCGTCTATACAAAAGTTTGAGGTTCTAAAAGTAGATCCATCAGTTTTCTCGTGAAATTTTCTTCTGACAGCGCCCCTTGAAAGTAAAATGTGACAAAAGAAACACCAAAATTTGAAGTTTTAGTAAAAAATTTCATGTCCGACCTCTCTAATTGAATCGATCCACTGTGCGGCGGTCTACTAGCATCTTGAGAATGGACCGCGTCCGTAACGAAAACATTATAATTACAACACACGGACGTTACAATTACATTAGAAATGGGTATTATAAGTTAAAGGATAACTTACGACACAAAGCTGGGCCTATGATAAAGAGGCCAACCAATATTAAAATGTTGACTGAGCCCATGGCGGAAACAGAATTGAAGAGCTAAGGTAGCTGCGGTGAAACTTTCAGACCATTATCCTCTCCGATTCTGAATGTCTACTGAGTTAGATGCGTGTTAAGGCCCTCGTGTAAGAGCAGTTGGCGATGTTGAGAAAACTAATTTGCAGTTTTAACTCTGTCGTGTGAATGTTGCAGCTCTGCAAAAAACCCAATATTCAAGCGGCTGCCTCGCAAATCCCTACATAATGAAGTTTAAATCGGAAAAAAATGTTCAGAAGTTTGAAGAAATGTTCAGCATGACTCATCTCTCACCCGTACAACCTAATGTTTCCTCCGGTTTCTCTCGATGGGCTCATGACACATTTCGTCGTTTTCCGCAGGAAAGCACGTAACTAAAATTCAAGGTTGCCAAATTTCCCCTCAGAAATTGCATACTAACCAGAAGAATCTTGGGCATTTCTAACTGAAAATTTCACTGATTATTCCTCGGATTCCGTGCAAAAATCAGGACGAGTTTGGATAAAAATTGCACTGGTACATTCTTGTAAAATAAATTATTGTTTGAGTCAATTTGACAACCTTGGAATGGGCCTACGTTCCTTCGTCCGAGAGACGACGATTTCTTTTTTTTATTATTTTTTTTCTCCATTCCTCGCGGCATGCGGCAAGATGAGCCTGAATTCAAATTAATGTGCATGTGTGCTCACGCCATGCTGAATCACTATCCTGAAATAGAAGCGGTCATAATGCAAGTAAGTGATAGTCAAATGAGTGGATTCTCGGAAGATGGAATCTTACGAAAATTTTAACAGGCACATCAAAATAGTCTCAGAGTCACTCTTCAGTAGAGTACCTTTACAGGGAGAGAATGGACACGTCGAAAATTTGGAGGTTTGGAGCCCAAAAGGGCAGCCATGTATGAACTTGAATAGTGGTACCATTCAACTGGTTGACCTGATTCAGAATAGGTATGCTGATCAAAAATTATAAAAACAAGTATAAAACTTTGATCTCGCAAACATTTTCTCAACTTCTAAGTCTTAATCCGTAAGGACCAGTGTTCGAAACTCACCTTTGAGTTTTAGGAGCCATGTGGCGCATCAAGCCCGATTTTTAGGCGCCATTGAAGATTTTTTAGGGGCCAACTTGACTATTTGCCTTTATATTACGGCGCACTTAGTGAAAAGTTAGACGCAAGATGTTCTCGTATCAGCACTATTAAGTATCTGCAACTTGGGGAAGACAAAAACACTATAAGAATGAAATCGAAAAGAATAGAATAAGCAAGCTTTTACTTGCAGTGCTGAAAATTCTGAGTTTTTCAATTTAAATAGATTTGTTTTTCTTTCTTTATGTGACTTCCTGTGAAAATCCAGATTTTTAGGGGGCAATTTTTAGGGGCCACTTTGGCGCAGAGCCTTCATTTTTTAGGCGCCATGGCCGATTTTTTAGGCGCATTTGGCGTATTAGCGCCTGTGAGTTTCGAACACTAGTAAGGACGCTTGTTTAAAATGCGCTGTTGGCCATATCGATTGATCGTTTAAATGCATAACGACGGTGAAAGTCGGCAATCACATAACTCGGTTTGCGACGTCGCAGACTTCCTGTCATACTTTATTTTTTAAACGGAAAACTACTTAACGGTAATTCTTTAAAACTGCCGTGATTTTTCTTCTATGTGCGAGGAAAATTCTGCAGAAACTTCAAGGAATCATGTTCATTTGTTCTCCTTTGAAAAAATAACATAGTTGCGGAGATTTTCAGACACCGCAAACGAGTTATGTGATTGCCGACTTGCACCGTCGATAAGTTAGCAGCGGCACTTTTCTGGTGATTTTCGTTTTACACGTTGTCGCCTTTTTGGGCCCTAAGAGGGCCCAAAAGGGCCATCACCGACCATCGACCCAATTCAACCAATAGGATCGGTCCATACTCCGTATGCTTTCTTCGTCTATCGATTTGTCTATCAATATCAATAATCAGCCCGCTGGTTGGTTAAATCGCTACCAAAGATCATAAAAAAGAAGACTCGCACACATTATCTCAAAAACAGAATGTATTATTTTCATAATGGATATTCTTTAACATTACAAAGCAGAAGAGCACCTCAAGCATTGTAAATTCACATGCTACATCCGTTGAATTCGGAATGTGCCTGAGTTGTAACTTTCAACTAGTGGCTTTCACTAGTTTTTTGGAATTTTTGGTTCAGGTTATGGTGTCGTTACTCCAGGTTCACAGCTAATCCATGGACAGTTATTCCATGGTCCTTCAACCAAGTACTGCCTTTAGAAAGGTGTTTGCTGCGAACATTCAGGAAATCGGTAGTACTGAGATTCTTGGCTTTCAAAAAATCGAGTAGTTCCTTGTTGGCTCCGCACTTACAGTTGTTTTGCTTGTCTACTTCAGCCACCGAGACCAATATGTGCTTTCCACTGTCGTTAAGAATATACCCCTCAGCCTTCATACACACTCCTTTGCATTCCTCAAGAGTAAATTGTCGCGGACGATACCCACGCCGTTCATCTGGCCGTAGCCGCTTCTGCGGCATGTTCGCTTCTTCTTCTGAAGACAAAAGTACACAGTTAAATATGTTTGTGTTTATGGTAACTTTAATATGATCACTGTAAGATACTTTTTTCGGCCTGATAAATCAAAAAGGCTTGGTTCATCGACGAAACTTTTGGTTGACTTGACTGAAACTGTGGGCCACACTCTGAGACATACAGGGATATGAAGAAGGTGTTCTGATTAACAAATGTACTCTTGTTTCTCTCGGTGTCATTCAGAGGTTGTGTTTTGCAAGTGGATAATGCGTTGTAAAGCCCAATTCAGACTATCAATCTGGTCATCTGACATCATTGAACGTTAAGTTGGATGGAAAGTTGAGCGCGAAAAAATTTGATGGAGAGTTGAGCGGAAAGTTGAAGGTGACGTCACGTTCAAATTTTCATAAAACTGTCTTTTTTTCTGTCCGTATCACACTATCCAACTTTTCATTCGACAAGTTGCATTCAAGAATTGAATGAAAAGTTTGACGGTGTGAATAGGGCTAAATGCAATCCAGGTTCAGTCCTGCATGGCGCACAGTGGATCGAGACAATAGGAGAGGTCGGACAAAGTTTGGAAACTTTAAACGCTTATAACTCCGTTTATACGAAACTTTGAGGTTCTAAAAGTGGTTCCATTGGTTTCCTCGTAAATTTTCTTCATTGAGCACCCCTCAAAGTTCAAATTGTGACAAAATTAACATCAAAATTTGCAGTTTTGGTAAACAATTTCATGTCCGACCTCTCCAATTGACTCGATCCACTGTGTGGCGGCTCGCATATGATTTTTATCTAAGTCGCAATTTGTCTTCCCTTAAAAATTGTCTACCTTTCTCACACATGGAAGGAACTCATCTTGTTCATCATTTAAAATCAGCGTTTATAGACCAAAATATGTGAAAATATTGCAATATTATTGCATGAAATCCCAAAATGATTCCAAATTTTTGTTGCTCTGGCTACTTCAGAAATGGATACGTATATCTGTAAATTGCCAAAGATAACAGGATACTTGCCATTATCACGAAAAAGAGGCATTTTCAGCAGAACTAAATATATCCCAGTGATAGATCTACATTTTAATTAGTATGTTAATTTGGCTTTTTAAAAACTTCCTATTCCTATATCCTTTCACACGATAGAATAATTACCTACTTATTTGGTAAGAGATATGATCTGACCTATCTCACACCGGGCTGAACTCAGGTCATGTAAAAATAACTCCCAGGGCAGAGGAGGTTTTTGATGAACTCTACCTCATAAATTTTACCCTATCCGTCTGCGAAGATTCTTGTCGGTTGTATACAGAACCTAAAGCGTAAGTTACTGACCTTTTTTGCGTTTCCCGTTTAATATTTCGAAATTGTCCTCTACTACCTCCTCAGGGGCTATCGGGTTTATTCCTTTTGGCGATTCATGGTTGCCGTTGGTATGTCCTGAAATAGGTGAATAATGTACATATAAATATAATCAAAAAGGTTAGGTTCGGTTACTTTATATTTGGTATTTTTTCTTTTATTAATTTCAAAAGTTTCTTAGACCAATTTTCACCACATATCTTCATATCAGTAAGTGGTGACTCGACCATTAAGTTGTTTATGCACCACAAAAATGGCTCATACGAGTACATCACAGTTTTAATCTCCCGACTGAATATTTTTCTACCATAATCATCGTTAATGTGAGCCAAAAGTGTTATTGGTATTAGTGGTAAAGATATTAGGATTATTGGTAATTAAACTGTATTTTGCTATACTGTTTTCTATACTATAAGCTCCAAGACCTCCTAATTTTGCGAAACTGGTGACGCTTAGTTCCAGCATTCTACCGGGCCGATTTTCATGATTTTTGCGGCTATCGTCGGGCAATTGTCTCTAGATAAGCCAACTCTTTTCAGATTTTCAAAATATGGCCCAGGTTTTTTTATATTACGTGGTAAAGTTGCGAATTCTCCCATATAAACAATGTAAATTTATGTGTTTTGTCATAGTTCGTTTGAGCATTCTACTGGGCCGATTTCCATGATTTTTGCGTAAATCGACAGGTAATAGGCTCTAGATGAGCCCGCTCTAATCAGATTTTGGAAAAAGGACCCAGGTTTTTTTTAAAATCACGTTATAAAAGTGAGTGAATTTACAGAGTGCTCCGGGACTGCTACCGCTATGCGCGGGAGGATGCGCAGTGGTCGAGGAAGTTGCGCAGTAGGTGTGTAGCCTGCGCATCAGCTCTACACTTATCTACACAAGATTTCCGCCAATTACCTAGAGATGAGCGGTGGTCGAGTCGTCTACGACGTCGGAAGTATCCACATTGATCAAGATGTGGGTCCGATCCCCGACTCCAGAGATATTTAATTATTACCTGATTTAAACTGTTCGTTGTTTTACTGTAATATTTCATCAAGCAGTCATTCCAAAACGCGTCCTTTTGACTTCAAAAAATTTTTTTTTTCTTTATTCATCAAAACCAAAAATTATTTCATTCTATTAAGTATACCTCATATCGAATTTTTTTAGGGGAAAAATAAAACTAATACTAATATGAGGGTAAAAATAGGGCCGCGAAGCGGCCCATTGATGGGGCGGAGCGCCTTCGGGGGGTTGGGCCGCGTAGCGGCCAGGGGGCGTAGCCCCCTAGTATTGTATAACTATAATGGTTATCAAAGCGGAGAATCTAGCTACCTATAATTTTAAGAATTATTGGTGAGAAATCACAATATTTTTCTAAGTGTGCGCTAGTGTGAGCGCCGATTATGCAAGTAATAACCGGTCCAACTTAATATTTCTTGGAGGTTCTTTTTGTCACCTTTCTGCAGCTTAGGATGATCCTCATTCAATACAAGCGGTGCTGGTCGATGTTGATGAAACTTTGGTGGCTTATGACTCTTTTCTCCTACTCCCGGTGGTGGGGATGATGGTCCTGAATGAGATAAGGGGTGTTTATGGCTACCCTCAGCTGGATGATCCTTCTTGTGTCTGCCTGAAGATGGAGATAGTGGGTGTGTCTGAGTGCTTTCAATTGAATGAAATTCTAAAAAAAAAAATCGGCCATTGGTATACTCATCAATATATTACAAGGATAAAAAAATACACTCAAAAATTGATGAAAGGTAAATAAAATGGATACATTTTTAAGGACTCTTCTTAACACCGAACATTCATAGGTGACTGAGAAGGATTTCTGGCGGCGCATGGTGGATCAAGTCAATCGGAAAGGTCGGACAAAATTCGGAATCTTTAAACGCTTACAACTCCGTCCATACAAAACTTTGAGGTTCTAAAAGTGGATCCATTAGTTTCCTCGTGAAATTTTCCTCTGAAAGCACCCCTTGAAACGTAAAATGTGACAAAATAAACACCAAAATTTGCAGTTTAAGTCCAAAATTTCATGTCCGACCTCTCTAATTGAATCGATCCACTGTGCGGCGATCTACTAGCATCTTGAGAATGGACCGTGTCCGTGACAAAAACATTAGAATTACAAAACACGGACGTTAAAATTACATTAGAAGTGCGTCTTACAAGTTTAAGGATAACTTACGACACAAAGCTATGATAAAGAGGCCAGCCAATATTAAAATGTGGACTGAACCCATGGCGGAAACAGGATTGGAGAGCTGAGTCAGCTGCTATGAAACTTTCAGACTATCACTCTCATAGATGCTGGTATCTGAGTCTTCAACACACGAATCTTCAGCACCCTTATGTGGGAGCAATTGGCGGTAAACGAAAAATTAATTTGCAGTTTCAACTTGCCGTGTGAATGTTACAGCTCTGCAAAAAAAGTAATATTCCAACGGCTGCTTCACTACTCCGTATCAGAAAAACTTGTTTAGGACTTTACCCGTGAAACCTGTTGTTTACTCCGGTTCCTCACTTCCTCCGTATGAAGGCGTGACATACGTACTCTTAATTAAATTTTTTTACACTTCTACATTGGTGGAAATGATTATCCCTGCGACAGTGCGCAAAACGCAAGGCTGCTTCATACAATGTAGTCGTTGTTCATTAATACTGCACTGCATCAGGATCGGGCTTATTATTTCGCAAATTTGAGATTTTTTGTAATTTTTCTTCATTCCTTGCGACATAACAATGGGCCTGAATTCAAATTCGTGTGGCTGTATTATTTGGACCGAGCTTATCAGAAGGGAACCAACCCACATTTTCGAAAAAATTGAGTTAAAAATGGTTTCGAGTCCCGCTGGCCGTATTATATATTCTCTCCTGTCAAAAACTGGAAGTCGAAAAACAGAAATTTATTTTTAAAAAAAGGGTTAAAGTTTATTTTCTACATTGAGCCTTATGCAGGAATAAAGCTTCAAACCTCTTTTTCTCAGTTTCAACTTAATGAGGGTTGGTTCCTTTCTGATGAACTCGGTCCATTCACGAAAAGCCTTGTCGCTGCCTTTGACTTACTTTTCTGAAATGAGGGGGTCTGATGCACGCAAGTGACACAATCAAATGAATGCACTTTCGTAAGGTAAAATATCACTAAAATTACGCATTTTGAGTCTTTTGAGTCTTTTTGAGATTTTTGCGTAAGAAACCTATAAATCGTGTTCAAAAATCGACACTCAGATAAGTTTTTACATGTCAGTGGCAGCTAAATGCAAAAAATGAGCATCCTAATTGCAACGTTTAAAAATCTCTGATTTTGCTTTATTTTCTTTAATATGAACCAAGGAATTAATGAGAAGTACGTAGAAATCAATGACAAGCTATGATAGTGGCTGCCAATGCTGTAATAAATGTGCATGGGAATCGCTGGTCGCTAATTTGACTGCCCAAATAGTTAAGTGTGCATTCCTAGGATGTAAAGTTAACTGTGCGGGTATGTAAGGATAACCAGACGCATTTTTGACAGCCTATTTTTCTCGGTGATAATTGGACTGAGTTAAGCAGAAAGGAACCAACCCACATTTTGGAAAAAACTGAGTTATGAGTGGTTTTGAACTCAACCACTGCTCTACTATCTAGCGCCAAAAATTCAAAGTTTTTGTTGGAGCAAATTTTGCAGAGATTGAACTTGAAGTTTATCTTTTACATTGAGTCTTATGCAGGAGCCAAACTTTAAAACTCTTTTTCTCGGTTCGATTCCAATGTGGCTTGGTTCCTTTCTGTTTAACTCCGTCCAATTTTTCGTCGCAACGTTGCGTGATTTTTTAGAATAAATGGAGAAAATTGGACGTAGTTCTACCAAAGAGACCTATGTGGAAGTGAGAAATATGGGGTGTGCTCGTTAGTCTCTGGCCGTAAGAGTGAATGAGAATAATAAAGCGCCAGTGACGTCAGCGGAGGAGGACGCCGCGTCACGTTCCTCGTGGTTGCGGTAGTCGTGGTCATTAACTCATGAGCCCTGTCCACAACGCTCTCTTGCCATGCCCGCGGCTCATGAGTTCCGCATTCAGTTGCACATAGGTCTCTTTGATAGAATGCAATATCCCGCTTTGCCAATTCTTCAAAAGGAACCACGCCCACTGACCACATTGCTTCTTATGCAGCTTCCAAGAGCACACCCCACATTTCTCATCGCCACATAGGTCTGTTTGGTAGAAATACGTCCAATTTACAGAAAAATTCAATAGAAATGCTCGGATGGTTTTCATTCGCAAAAAATGAAAACGCAAGCGGAGCCTTACGATATCTCATTCTCAGACGCGCATTTTTCCACTTTTCTAATCGATTTGTAATACTTTCTGCTTCCCTTTGTCACGAGCCCCACAAGCCTTTCACTACGAGCGCCAGCAAAGCGAATCACCGCTCAAAGCCGGTCGGTGGTAATTCAATTTTTGCCGGGAATTAAATAAATTCCCCCAAAACTAGCCACTAGTTGTCACCGGAGACCGCNGGGGGGGGGGGGGGGGGGGAGAGGCTGAAAAGAGGGAAAGGGGTCCAGCGCGGTCGTTCCCGACGAGGAACATCTGCGTCTGAGGCTTGAATAATTCATGCATAGATTTCGACGGATTCGCGCTGACGGAATAATTATCACTTCAAAACCCGGTCAAAACCTACTTGTGACCGTGAGCTTCCGGGATTCGATACTCGCATGCGTTCGTGTATTCTGCCGTGCTAAGGAAGAACGCCGTATGAGCATGCGGACGTTGCCAAATTTCCGTCTATAAAAACCGAATTTACTGGTAAATTTATGAACGTTTTTCTTCCAATTTTTCAGAGAATTTTGTTCGTGGTTTGATCTCAAGTTCCTGAAAATTTCGAGGAAAAATATTCACGATTTTCCTCAAGAATGAACATTTTATCAAAGGAGATTTGGCAACTCTCGAATGTTCATACGGCGTTCTCCCCTAGCACGGCAGTATTGCGTTACACTCTTGGCCAGTATTTAGGACCTTTGCGGGCCGATTATCGAAATTTATAGACAAAGCGATAGACAAAGAAGCCATAGGGAGTATGTAGCGATCCCATCGGTTATTTTCGGTGGTTCTTATAGACTAAGGGAGAAAATGATGGGCTAAGTATGGGATCTCTCGTGGGTTGCCGTTAATTAGTCTATTTCCTACCACCTTTGTCCATTGCAACCATCCGCTTCCACCAATAGGATCCTTCCATGTGACTTTTTTCTTCTTTGTCTGTCAATTTCAATTAGCGGCCCGTTGCAGGGGAATACCAGTGGTTGATTATTGAAATTGATAGACAAAGTAGACAAAGGGTAAAGAATGGGGTGGTTGCAATGGACGAAAGAGGTGTGCAATAGACGAACTAACGGCAATCCGCGAAAGACCCTATTTTTAGTCAATCATTTTCCCCTTCGTCTACAATAACCACCTGTTTTGACCGATAGGAACTCCCTGTTTTCCTTTTGTCTTCCTTGTCTATCGCTTTGTCTATCAACCAAAAAATCAGCCCGCAGGCAATATTCACCCGGAGTCTTCCTTGGTAAGTACGAACACGAAGAGAGTACTTCAGTGATATAAATCGTCCGGAGTTTTACATTAGCCACCCCATTCGATTCCTGTAACCATACTCTCGATTCTATGGACGATATCTTCGGTTCAAACAACTAAGCTTTCAAATTAAAGCAGAGAGAAAGCTCAATTGCAGAAGCGAGGATGGGGTTCTCAGAGCCAAGAGAGCAGTTATACGAATCGACTACTACAGTTAATATTTAATTTCATATATCGGCAGCTCATAGGACTAAACTTTTTTTTTCAGCGAATGAACCCCCCTCCCCACCCCCCTTTTCGAGTTTTTTTGCTGATTTGGGGGAAAATATGCTTCCCTCTGCATAAAAAAGATAAAAAAAATGTATATTTAATTCTAAAACATCGTAATTATGTAATCGCGTAACGCAAAGTTTATAGGTTAAAATCAGCACTTACCCCACTTGACTCCCAAGCCCCTTATCTTTAGCCGTATTACAAAACAATTTTATGCATGGGCCTCCTGCAAATTTGACAAATTTTCGCTACATTATTTTCCTCCTGAATCCTTGAAGCATGGACCCTGAGGAAGAACGCCGTATGAACATTCCAGAGTTGCCAAATTTCCGCGGATAAAACACGTATTCTCGTTAAAAGTTTTGCATATTTTCCCTTAAAATTCTCAGATATTTTAGATTAAATTGCGAAGATAATTGTCTAAAAAATGCGAAGAAAAATTTTCCAAATTTTCCGAGTGAATTCGCTTTATACTGGAGGAAATACGACAACGCCTGAAGGCTCTTACGCACTGAAAAGAAATTCTCGGCGTTTTCATCAAAGTCCGTTGGTACCTTTACCATCTCACTTTTTTTACCAATTATCGGTAATTTTACCAAGACAGACTGGTAAGCTTACTTAAAAACCGGTATTTTTACTGTTTTTTTTCAGGTTAGAATACCACTTTTATTGGTAATCAATTCCCGGTAACTTTGCCATTTTATCTCGGTAATTCTACCACAGTCGATAAAAAATATTGGCGTTTTTACCAAGGTCCAGTAAAATTACCGAGAAAATCAAAAATTTTACCGAGATTTCTCGGTAAAATTACCAATTCCATAAATGGTAATTTTACCAAGAAAAAACTGGGATAAAATAGAACCCCGAATTCTTGGTAACTTTACCCTTTTCTTAGTAAATACACTGATATTTTTTTTTCAGTGCGGCGTTCTCCCTTAGCACGGCAGTATAGGTCTCTGACCCTCACCAGAATCGGATGAATAATGGCTGAAACAAAAGACGAATAGTTCGGCAACGGGGCCTTAAATCGAGACTGAAATTAATATCGGGGGAACAAATGGAATCAAACGGAGGACCCACAATCTCCGATCCCGTTTAATATCCAATAAACGTTCATTAAGGGGCGCAACTAAGGAACACGAGCAGAGCCGGAATATTGCGACCTCGGATTGAAACAGATATTCGGCTATTAACACTACCATAAATTTGAATATTTTCTAAACCTACCGAGAGTTGCCGGATCGACTCAAAAATGACACATTGAATCGTGGAATTTAGAGTTAGGGAGGAATATCGTGTGAGTATCTGAACGTTGCCGAGGTTCCTCTGATAAAGCCTAAGTTAATATATTTTTTAGAGAAGCCATGAATATGATTCCTCCACATTTCAGGGTACCGAAATTGGAATAAAATCACTGAAAAAAAGGTGTTTTACTCAGAGGAAAAATGTATTGTTTTTGATTTCCAAAGTTTTTTTATTTTTATTCAAGTCCGTTCTAAACTGTGGATTAACGTTTTTACAAAAATTGACTATTTTTGTT